TAATCGACCCCTTGGGCTGATTGCCACAAACGGAATTTTCAAACTTAAGCTTTTGCCCACAACCCCACCCCCACCTCCCAACGCCACTCGCTTCCAGTCGGCAGCCAAGGAGGCACCTCAAAGAGCTGCAACGAGGCGCAAGTCCGGGGAAGGGCGGTGGGTGCCCGGCTGCACAGGGCGCAAGGCAGTCTGGGGATGGGCGGCGTGGGCACGGCCGGCGTCGGCATTTAGCGGTCGGCCAAGACCGCAGTTTTGCTCTATAAAGCTGTGCTCGCTTCGCTCACTCGCAATAATACGTATTTACATGCATTACAGCAATATTCATAATTAATGACGAATTATCGACACCTTTGCGCTTGGGGGTGCAGACTTCATGGCGGCTTTCACCATGACCCGAGTATCCAAGATCTCACGCAGCAGGCGGGGCAGCACCCCAGGGCGGGCATCTGGAGGGGCGAAGGCAAGTCCATTTGGCGCCACAATCACGCGATCTGGCGCAAGGCGACCAGTGAGGGTTCCCTGCGAACCGAGACCACCACAACATAATCAGCGATTGCTGACGCCACTGCAATGGCGATAAGGCCCCAACAGCGCTGTGCCTACTGTGGACTGCGACCCCATTTTAGGTACGGTCGTCATGCGCAACATTGTAATCATTGTAAACATGAAGAATGATGTGCTTTACATCATTGCTACTGGACATTCTGCCAGTTCAGCGCCACGCAAACATAGGCACAAATATTGTGGGAATGGACGTTTCCCATGTCAGACATTTTGCACTTTTCAGAATGATGTTCTTTGATGTGTTTCAAAAAATCGCTTCAACTTCAAATGACCTGAACACCCATGCGAAAACTCGCTCACTGCGGTAGAATGTGCATCTGGCATGGAGACTACAAAGATCGCAATTGTACACACCCTGTCCAACGATGGTCAGTATTGCCACCAAAACCACGTGCCCAAATACCTTTTGGTCCGACTACATGAAACACCTCATACCGGCCCTTCCAAAACATGTTCGAAACATTTGAACACAGTGAATTTATACAAACACAATGAATTCCTTGTGCACTAACCATTCAGTATTTTTGGTGCAAAATTTCACCAGGTTAGTGCAGTGTTGCCACTAAAGATTCCCACAGCACTTGCCAGACGAGGGTGATGTCCGTGCATGCCTGCCAATTTATTGTTCGATAGAATGGCAGAAAGGGAAGTAAAAATGCATAAAAACCAAAACCAACACATTACAAACAAGTAGACAGCTTAAAAAAACAAGTCAGCAGAAAGATAAACTAACAAATAAAATAAATAAAAATAAATAAATAAACAAACACACAAGCAAATAAATAAACAAACAAATAGATAAAAAAAGAAATAAAGAAAGAAAGACAGAAAGAAATAACCAGCAAAACAAAATGATTGGGAGACAGTACTCACCTTTGGCAGCGCGAAGTTCGTCACCCCCAGTTGGCAAGGGGCCGACGCGGACGAGTGACAGGCCCTCCCGAGGCACGTGGAGTAGCACAGGTTATAGGCGATGATGACCGACGGGTAGAGGGACTGAAAGTCCAGTACGACAACCGGATCGGTGTACAGCCGTGACTGGGGCTCCATCACCAGCGGAAGGCACTCCATGGCGGGCTGGTGGTGGACCTGAGCGGAGATCGCGGTCATAAAGATTGGCCAAACTGACCATTTCGTGCATGCGATCAACGCATGTGCATGTCTGTTCAGCTCAAAATAGGTAAACGGGTCGACACTGCTGTGTATTGTATTGGCGTCGCCCGCGTTGAGTGCATGCATCGAGCGCTGCATATTGACAGTGTCTTGGTGCTGCAATATCTAACGCTCTCAAGCGGGTGGCAAAGGCTAGGCAAGCTGCAAATTCAAGAGGTCAAGAGGTCCAAACATTCAAGCCTATCCATTCATTTGCTGGTGGATCAATAAAGACGCTTCTAGTAGAATTAATGACACCAACAGCATATAAGAAACACAACACGTGGTTAAGGCTATTCATTCACATCGAAGCGACCCCAGCCCACAGCATGCGTTTCAGCATTGCTCACACCACGAGTGCACGATTTCGGACACATCCTTAGCTCTATTCAGAGGCAGACAGAAACCGAAGGAGCTAAACAGATGTTTTGGCAATGGTCAGTTCGCTCTACGCCGCCGAACATCGTCTGGAGTGAGCCGCGCGTTGAAACATGAATGCACCAATTGCGCACATCCGTGTACCATCGTATGTTCAACCCTTCCGCATAGTGACGTGATGCTCGGCTTTTCTTGCGGAGAAAGTAATAATATAAAAAACGCTCTTCATGCGGAAGGGCTGCATATACTGTGGTATGTTGCCGAAAGATGACTCCGCACTGCACCTGTTTCTTGCTCGGCGACACCATGAGGTAGTTCTGGCTGTGCGCCAGTCTCACCATCATGCTCTCCACCCTGTACTGCGTTCCGCGCGTCAGCACGCTGAAGAAGTCGATGCCGAAGGTGCGAGCCAGCTCTGCCGTCCTGCCCACCAGATCCAGCTGCTCCACGATCGACAAGTTCAGGCGGGCGCGGCGCACGACGTGTCGGATGCACCGCCATCGGCTTCCTGTGGAACAAAGGTACAGCGCCGGGGCATCATCTGTGCGTAATTGTTGCTGTCGCAGTTCATTGTCAATGTGTGGACAGTTTTGAGGTTTCTCCTTGAAAATTCGGAGGAAACTCAAAAATTTGGAAAAAAACGTTCGAGTGCGAATGCCACTGTTCCATGCACAGTATGCCAGTAGTTCCCGTACATGAGTAGCGACGCCCTGTGCGTTATTGTGCCAATTCCATATTGGCGGTGTCGGCAAGAATATCTCCTAATAATCTCTTAATATTTCTTAATATCTCTTAATAATTGTTGTTCGTACACTTCGTTGCTCAACACGCACTTTCCTGCCATGACCTTGTCTTCGCCCCTTGCCAACATCTAAGGAAGCAATAGGAAAATCAAATATGACGCATTATACCTCGGTGCCCCACAATTCAAGGCGCTCGACAGTTTTACTTCGGAAATGCATTGTAAACGTCTATAAATTAATTTTAGTTTGTAACCAAAAATAATTGTAAATTTTCCAAACTATTGAAACGGCATTTCAACGGGCAACTAAACAAGCTTCGTCCAATCGGGAACCTCTTTCCAGTGACAAACGTCCATCGTCTGCGATAGCCATCCCATTCACCAAGAGTGTGACATCCACCCCGCATCAATACCGTATATACAGATGTACACACATGCATATACACACATATACGTATATGCACACATACATTTCTTGCGATTACAATTTGCGGGGGAGATCCTTTGATAATATTATCGTGTACCACGTTGGAATTCAAAAAAATGCATATCTACACATATACATGTATACATATAGACACATACACCGATACGCATACTACAATATGTACTGTACATATCGTATGTACGTAATACATCATCGCCATTTTACAGTGTGATCGTGAATCACAGCGGCGTACCTCCACGTTCGCTCTGGAACCAGGAGGACATTTGCGCCGGGGAAAAGCAGGGCACTCGCTGCTGCAGGACCGCCGCAACACACCGCTCGAAGGTGTAGATGTTGAGCTTCACCTCCGCGCGCAGAATCTTCCAGAGGTTGAGGAATATTCGGCCAACGCTGTGGATGCCCGTGGCCTTCTTGTACCCGTACTGGTCCACTTGCCCCTCCTTAAGGCTGGATCTCTGCAAGGAGCAGCCAACAGGGCGTGTCAGGAGGAGTTCCCGCATACACATTGTGAAATCCTCGAGGTTACGAAATTATCCCTGCCACCTTGTTGATTGCTGTCATCAGTTGCCCGAGCAATTTTAATTTGGATTTTGATTGATTTGATTCATCGAATTCATCAAACTAATTTGAAAAAAATGAAAAAATTGAATAATCAAATTGATTGATTGAATGGCCAGCGAGTTCATGCAATTCATTCGATCTCATGAGTCAGACAATGACAAATTGTACCCAGGTCCGAGGACGGCCAATTGTCCATGACATATAGAAATCGATGCCAAATCAGCACCTGTAGCAACCTGATGTTCAAGAATTCAAGGCTAATTAAGTTGCAGCTGCACGACTACGTTCACTGACAAATCTTTGTCTGGTTCAAAGACAGAGTGTGCATTCATGCAACGCATCGCCCCCCACTGTTCGCACAAGCCATGCACTTGGAGGGGAGTCCAATTCATGAATCTGCATTACACCAACTCTGCTTATGGAAGAAGGGCACCCTTACAACAAACGATGCCTGCTGGGATGTACGGCGAATGCCCAGGATCCCTCACCAATCTGATCGATCTGATCTGTTCTCATCTGATCGAATCTAATCTCACTCATCTAACCATGCACGCAATCCTCACCAACCTAATCTGATCTAATCAACAATCTGTCCTGCCGTCCACCAGCGAGACAGCGCAGAAGCACCATCTTTAGAAGCGCCTACCCCTGTACTAAAAGACGGTCTGATATTTTTGAACGTGGACAACAACAGCGCGCAACGTCCAATTTCTGCAAGCGAATGCAGGGCACACACTTTGCCTAATAGAATACATCCCTGCACGCGCCCATTCTCTTCCGCGCTGCCCACTCACCCCGGGCACCCTGGACATAATTCGAAGGAGATTCATGTCCAGCTGATTGGCGCGGTCCGACAGGTAACCCAACGACTCCATCTGGGCCTCGAAGCCCAGCACGATGTCCGGGTCCAAGACGCCTACAGACTCGACAAAGCCTTTCAGCAGTTCGACCTCGGAGGAGAAGTGCCTGGGGGTGTGGAAACAATCTTGTTAGAACGCATGCCACTACCGGGAAAGGATGGCATGAAAAAAATGGCCAATGTGACGCTGATTGTTGCAGTCCAAACACAGCCTTCGCCAGCTGGCACCATTGACGTGCCATTGATAGAAGTGACAGCTGATTTCTATTCAGATAATTGGGCACCACGCCAGTGCACGAGTTTCGCCGATTCACCGCTGTAACACCCTTTTAGACGAAGTGGGTGCAAGACTCTGTGCTCGGTAATAGTCGCTGTACGAACACTGGCTGAACATAGTTCGCTTCAATAACACATGTGTGTATTCCAAACAATAACGCTGGGGCACCTGCAGCAAATCCAACTCTTCTGGTGCTTTGACTAGCAGATGTCATTCCAATGGCAAAATTATACGAGCGATAAACGAACACGAGTTTTGCAGGTGCGCCAATGCAGCCATGCAGGCGCAAGGTCCACTCTTAACAGTGTTTGGACAAATTGCATGGCCAATCGCATGATGAATTTCGCCACCTGTCAGAGGCGCACACCGCACCTGGTAATACAGTTGCTGATCATGGGCGCCGTGACATTACGAGCTTCTTCTGGAGGGCAGGAGATCAGCACGTGGGTCGGAAAGGTGCCGTCACTAATGCCATAGCTACCGCCGGTGACGGCCAGAACGATGCAGCGGATCTCGTCATATCGAGGGTCAGGAAGCAGGTGTCCCCTGGTGGCACAGGGCACTGGGACCGTCAAGTACGGGGACATTGGGCGTGAGCAAAGCCCAGGTCATCTGGACATATGTAGTGTGGTGAACCCATGTGGTGGACAGTGGAAGGTTGCAGCGAAAAGGCATTGCTGCGGCAGTGAACTTTCGGGAAAGGGTTCTGGACCTGATGCAGCTGATCTGTCCGAAGAGTCTGTCGAAAGAGTGGGCATTGGCAACCATCCGGTTCAAGAACTGTTGAAAAGAATTTCAAAGTGTTTGTTGGTGTGATGGACATACATCTAAGAGCATTCATGGATATTGAGTGCCGTCTTAACTTTGCAAACTTATAGTTTCAAGGCTGCACTCAACATCCGTGGATGCCCCAGATGGATATCCATCACACCAACACACACTTGCCAATTTGCAGAAGGCTTGCAAGCCGATAGTTATAAGATAAGATTGGCCGATTCAGCAAATCGCATTGCAGCAAACTTCATTACGTTGCATACCCTTTGGCTTTAAATTTGAAATCACAGAGTGGCCAGTGCAAATCTTTTGACTGCATTTGGCAAACTGACAGCAAAAAGCCTTGCAAGTGCAAGTTGATGTCGGGCATGTGTCGGAGAATGTCCAAAATTCAATCGTTCCGAACGTCAAATCCAATGCAAACAGCCAGCGTACTGCATACCACAGACGTTCGCAAGGGGCAGATGCTTCTGCAGCTTCGAATAAGCAAAATATTCTTCTGCACAAACAATTTTCCACAAAATACACAACAAATATACTGCACCAACATTTCTAGATGCACATTCACTGCCAGATGTGCACAAACAAATGGTCACAAGTTGGGCAACGCAATGAATGCACTCAGAGCCTTTGTCGCAACCTGGGCACTTTGTGCAACGTGGTGGGCCTTTCACCAAACCAAGAAATGTTCCTCCAGGGAGACAAAGCTAAGCCGTGCCGGTGCAGTAAAACAGAAACATGAAAGAATTCCAGGGCATCGCAAAAGCATGTGCAAAGCCCTTGCCCAAAATGATGAAGGGATTCCCAGCGTACTCAAGAGAACTTGCCTGCAGTTTGTATGGACCTCCACACTCAGCACGACCAGCTCCTGGGCCTCGTCTGGCATTCCTTTCTTGAACCCTGCCTGGCTGACAGGCGTCACCTTGCTTCCTGCCTGTTGCAGAGTGGGCAGTGTGAACTGCGATGTGGTGCCACCTGGCTTTGCTGAGCGAACGAGCGGAGTGGGTGGAGACCGTGGATCCCTGGCACTGCCATCACCTCCTGAAATGCCACAGCACGCGTGGGTGCGCTTTAGCAGCAGGTACGTGCACTTGTGGCGCACTGGTGCTGTGTATGTATTACACAAGGGCACATTGAAAAACGGGTCCAGCAGTGCCTTCGGTTAAGGAGCATCGCTCCACAAGCCTTTTCACAATTGAGAACAGTGCACTACTGACTTTACAGACAGTCGTCCGTCAAGTTGCTCACATTCTGGCACAACCAAGTGCTGAATCCAATTGCACCACACATGCCACTGCACAAACAGTTGCATGCCAGAAATGCAGCCAAGGCAGAAAATGCACGTCCACGAAACAACGCAAACATGCACATCCTCAATGACGAGATCTGCCCAAGTAAGGCGATTCGCTGCCACTGCAATCAATAAATGTGTGTGGTGTTGCTCACATCCGCAAGCATTTGTTAGCGTGCTGTTTTGGTTCTTTTCCAACAGACATGACTGATGCCATTCAGCAAAGACCTCAAGGGGGTTAAACAGCAAGAAGACTATGGGAACAGGCTGCATTGTCAACACCTCTTCTGGACAAGTTTCTTGCATGGTCACAGCCACGTGTGAGTACATGGTACAAAAATATTCAGCATCTGGCACCCACCACTTGGCACTCAAGTGCTCACTTTGGCAGAAGTGGTGATGATAAGTTATTCTGTCGTGCAGGGCAGTGGAGCAACACAAACAGCATGTCAATACAAAACAAACAGCTATGTGGGCCATGCCGCACCCGTCGAATTGGCTCTCCCAGTGGTTTGTGCCAGCGGTGTGTTGACTGTTGTGAAGAAGCAAGTCCGCTCGTCATACTTTGGGGATGGCGGCCGAGGGGTTAATTCTGGACAGGCGGCCACTTCCCCCTGGAGCACCCCGATGGGTGCCTGACTGTCAGTCTTGATCACAGCTGCAGCCTGTTCACTGCCATCCTCCAAAGACATGGTCAGAAATCCTTCAGAGTCCTGACACAGCCAGCAAACAGAAAATTCTGATGGCTTGCATTCGTGTGCCCCGTGGCATCTGCAGATGTGCCTGGACTCCTAAATGTGATGTGATACTTTCATGTCCTTTGATTTCCACACTACAAAACATTGTCTATGGTGTGCGCTGTACATGCGCTTCTCTTTGAGAGCACTTGTCAAAATTGAGGAGGAAATGCTCTTGTACTTTCAAGGCAATGGCAGGCACTTCTGCAGCCTCGGAAAGGTGTCCTAAATACAAAATTATGTAAACTGCTGTGGTGCAATTTGTGTACTTTGTTCTCTGTTCTGTATTTATTGGCACCATCTCTAATAGTAGATTTCACAGGTCGGTCTCTTCGTTTTCTCTCTCCTGATATGAGCACTGGGGCGAATGCTGGGCAGCGTGGGAATTTCGCAAGGCTCTCTGCACATTAGGTGGTCTGTGGCATTACCTAGTTGTGGCTCCAAGCTAGAGATTTCACAATTGTAGGAGGTGTCTTGTTAAGGGTATATTTACAACGACATTCCAAGAGTTGATACGGTAAGGCGTTTTGGCACTGTGACTGGTGCTCAATTCACCACAACAGCGAAAGTGCTTGTCACATATTGATGTGTCATGTCTGAAAAGACATCCTGGCTGACATATTCCTTTACGAGCACGAACTGGTGCTCTACCAAATGAACCAGAGTGCATTTCACTGCTGCAAAGTTGCGAGCACGAAGAAACATAGCTGTGACAGTATCGACCCCAACAGCACTCCATCCCTCAGCTCAAGCACCAAATTTACCTGTGTAGTCAGCTTGAGTTCAGCAACAAGCTTTCCTGTATTGGCGTCCATTCTGGCCAACACCTCATGTCCACTCCCTGCATCTTGTCCCTTTGGAGCTGCACGCGCCTTGGCTCTTTCCTCGCACAGCCAATCGTCCACCTCTTTTTGCAAAGGCGGTCGGAGTCTGGGCACACAGGGCCATCCGCCATATCGATCCTGAAATGGACCCTGTGGGATGACAACTCTTGAGTTTGTGTCACTCCCATAAGCCCCTTCAGCATCCACTGGCCCATCGACAACCACAAGCAAACTGTCAAGAATGCCTCCATCCGCAGCGAATGGCACAGCATCAGCAATGCTGCTCGTGGGGTTGCGAAACTCCATGCCTGCCATGACTGTGGAACCAGGAGGGGCATCGTAGGGATTACCATAAAACGGCTTTTGACTGACCTCCAAACCACCAGACCCATGGATCAGGTCAGCCAATACCTCTGCCGGGGGCGGCGGCCGCCTCCTGGTTCGGTAACTCGATGTTGGCCCCCCTTCTGGAGTTGGAGCTATCAAAGATGTCCCAGGCAAGGCAGCCAAGGGTGCTAATGTCTTCACAGGAGTCTGCTGTGTCAGCTGCCCCATCAGGACGGGTGTTGAAAGGCAGTGCATTGGTGTCTGTTCACCATGCTTTCCAGTGCGTTGTGCCAACGGCGTTAGGGAAGGCAGAACAGAGCCTGGGATATTCACCATATTGGAATTTGCCCCCAACAGCATCCCAGCCTCCTTGCCTGATGTTATCCCAGGCGTCCTGAAATTAATGGGTATTGGGGTAGCCTGCTGAGGGCAAGTCTGGGCGCCATGCTCACTGCTGGTTTGCAGTCCATGGTTTGGAAGGTCACGGCAATCGAGTATGCTGCAGTTGGGGACGTGGATCCATGCAGGTGGCATGTGACGTTCCACCTTTGGCTTCTGGGCTGACGGCCTGCCTGGAATGACACAACTGGGAAGGTCATCATGGAGAGGATCCTGCTCTTCAATGGCTGCCATATCTGTGTCTTGTGGGCACCTGAAGCTGAGCTCCAAGTCTGGGATGCCCTCAAACTGGGGCCCTGCTGCACCGGTTTCATCCCTGAGGCAACTTCCCAGCTCAACATTCTCAATGTTCCCCAGTGGCTGCTGTGCATCACTCGCGATTTCGACAACACTGGATGGACCTCCATCTTCTGCTTCTGATACCACTCTGACGGCAGATTGGCAAGCCTGAACATTTCCACTTGTGCATCTGTGGGTTAGCAAAAGCTTAGGGCTGGCTTCACCACTGTGGCATATGGGTTTCGCAGTTGCAATCTTGGCACCCTCAGTCTCCCCAGCAACCACCCCCACCATTGAAGGTGAGTCATCCCTGCTCTCTGGCACAACTTTATGAGAGTTCTGACGGCATGTCTTGTGGTCCCCTTCCATTTCGTTAAGATCATCCTGCAGCAAGGGCTGTCTGGCCAACATTGCATCCTTGTATGCTTCCTTCACCTCTTGACGTGAATGGTGGCGACCCTTGAAGAGAGGAAATACAGATATTTGAGCTACAGCGACGCTCAATGATTGTGAAACTGAGGGAGGGTAGAGTGCTGTCAGTTATCCCATGAAACCAACATCAGCAGCTCGTGCAGGGACATGAATGCTGCATTTTAGAATCTGTTGTTCTAGAAATTCACCACAAATTCAACTACCATGCTGTCTCAGGCTTTGCACAGCTGAAAGGCTGCTTGAAGTGGCCAAGATATAAACGCACATGTCCAGCTGTCCCACAATGAAAGCACCAAATGAAAAACATATTATTTATGCAGAATAGGCAAATGTTTTGACATCTGACTGGGCTGTACAAATGCAAGAACATCGGTTCAAATCAACGGCAAAAGCCAAAAGCACAAACTTGACTCTGCATTCTGCTCCATACAAAAGCAATATTGTCTTCACCACAGGCAGAAGATAAAGCTTACCTTGGCTGCGATTGGCTTCTTCAGGAATCCGAAACTTGAGCGACCAACATAAGTTTCCACTCTGACCTTCTCTTTGGACTGCACCATTCCTTCCCTATGGCCGGCTCCTGCTTCCAGCAGCAACTTACGGTGAATGCCATCTGCCACTCTATCACTGTGCTGATGGACATCAAGACTCCCACCTTCTCTGGACTCTGGATGAAAGGCTGAGACTCTTCCCTTGTCACCCAGGGTGCCATGTTCATCCCATCTCAGGTTATTGTTGACATCAAGTTCAGTTCTCCCACATTGAGGCGGTGTCAACTCTGAAGCCATGCCACGATGCAGTGTCCTGCTGCCTGCCACCAAAGATGGCAAGCCATTCTTCTTGGCTGGGCGTGCAAGTCCCACACGATAACTTCGGGGAACCGTGGGCACGTTCCTCAGACCCACTTCGCCACATCCAGGTTCACTGATTGCCTGAGTTGCCAAAGCATCGGATGCTGAATCCAACTTGATCTGTCCACTTGCCACTGTTTCACAGTTGTCACAGCCTTGACTTCGTTTGTCACGCAATCTGGGTCTCTTTCTTGACTGACTCCTGCTGCTCCCTGGATCAGAAGTCTGCGATGACTGGAAACGCAGTTTTCTCTTTGCTGGTGTCAAGTGGTCTGCAGCAGTCTCGCCCCTCACTCTAATGACTTCTGGTGGAGTGGACAGCTCCAAGGGCAGAGGAGAATATGCTGCTGCTGATGTGCACGGGGACCTCTGTGTTTGCGATGGCGACACAGCACCATGCTGCAGCCGGCCTTGTGTTCCAATGGCAGATGCCGAGCACCCCGCCTTGTCACAGCCATCCGTCCCATATTCTCTGTCCTGGCTCCTTGCCTTCTGGCACGCTGGCTCGTCGCAGATGCGATATTCTTCTCCTGTTTGGGAAGCTGACATGCCAAGTTCTGGTTGCGATGTACAGGCTCCCAGTTTCGATTTGCACTGTTCATCTTCCTTACCCATTTGAGAAACGCCTCTACCAGATCCATCACCACCAAGGCCATCCTTCTTCTCTTTGGTGTCCTGCTCAACTTCTTGCCATGTACACACCCACAGAAATGCAGGTGAGTGAGTGGTGACCAAGAAATTTGCATGATCCATCAATCCTACTGGACAATGACAGTATTGACTTCCAAGTGCAGTGCTTCCAGCAGCAAGTTGTGACAAGTGTAAATCAAAAAGAATGCCACGATTCCAGACCCCAACACATCCCAACCAACCAATCCACATTCCATGCTTGCTGGCCGAACATGCCCGAGGAACAAATTATACGTGAGTGCCAGGCGCACATCTTCAGAGCTGTGCATCCATCGATGCACAAACATCTGACATCTGACAGCACTAGACACAATCAGCATGTGGTTCTTGAAGTTTTGGACCAAGAATCGGATGAAGGCAAACATTTGACAGCAATGTTCATGTACCATGCAGTCTGATTAACAACAGCAACACATAGATGTGGTACGTGACTTATTGAATGTCATGCAATACTTATTTCCCTTCCATATTCTCTATTCATTATGTAGCACCATAGAATATTCAACCCTTCCACATCAGAGATTTTTATTGTTATTCTTTTTGCTCCGCAACAGAAAAGCCCAACACTGCGTTGCTATTATTAATTTTCTCTTAAAAAAAGGCCCAGCTTTGCATTACTATGCAGAAGGGTTGAATATTTGCTGTATTTTATTATCAAAAAATCAAAAGCAGAAAAAACTGCACAGAAATGCAACATACCTAAACTGCACTCGAGTATGTCATAACAATCTTTCTGATCTTCTTCAGCAGATGCACGCAGCTTTGCTGCAGCATCACAGGGAGTACCAAAAGTGTTGTCATCTTCGTCAACAAGATCTGCAAGCACCAACAGAGGATCTGCCGGTGAAGGGTACGCTCTTTCATCATTATCATCAAGGCCATCGCTGGCTTGTGAATCGCCCTGCGCACCAGAAAGTAAGTCCTGAACAGATATTGTACTTCCTGTATTGTTAATGTATGGGTGCAGAATACTGACAGTACATAAGATGCACACGAAGGCAGCCCATCAGTACACTAGAAGAGGAAAGGACTCATACAGTGCGTACATTCTCTTTCAGGCGAGTATGCAGAGTCTCACATCACAGTGCCTGCAAGGGCACTTCGAGTGTGATGCTTCATGTACTCAACTTTTGTGTGCTCAGAGCATCTTTATTGGTCAGTGCTATTGTCCTAGCATTGCTGTAGAGGCACAGTTCTTATTGGCTTCAGGGCCACCTTACTAAGGCGGCACTTGTCGAATAGGCACCAGCGCTAGGGCTCCCATATGTGCATCTGTCACGGTGGGTGCTATTGCGATGGCAAATAGCATCAGGCCACTAAAGCAATGTTCTGTGCAAGTAGCACCAGTGCTATTCTGGGTTGCTATTTGGCCTCGAGCAATCATTGCCGAATAGCAATGCTATTCAAGGCCAAATAGCACCCCTTGGCACCGAATAGCTTCGGCGGTGCTACTGGGGTGCCATTGCTCTCCAAACGATAATGATTATTTTTTGACCTGCAGTGCTATTCGGATTGCCAAATATCACCACCGGGACAACAGCACCAACCGATAAAGGTGCTCTTAGGTGCATGATGGTGTAACGTGCATCATCACCACACCAACAAAATACTCACAAATATCAGTGATATATGCGCACAACGTACATGACGAGCCTTGTGTGAGGTTCTAAATTGCTGTCAAGTTTCTTGTGAGGCAAAAGGCCAACTTCTCTTCTGCTAGGCCCGGGCTGCACTTGGGCTCATACAGGCCATATGAGCCGTATGGGCCAGAATTATGTACAACAAATGACACAATACTTTGGAACGGGAAAAGCCCATGCCCCATACTTGTCGCTGCCCCAGCATCTGTGTCAGAGCGGCTTTGTCCACAAGATCTGCTCCAGCCCGCAGCATGTCACTTTCAGGTAGCGCAGCCACACCAGAAGCACAGCCCATCTGCGATGCAGTATGTGATGGGCCATCGTGTGCAGCAGTGAGGGCGTTTGCTGCCTGTGTCACTGCTCGAAGAGCATCCTGTGACGTCTCCAAGCTGTGAGGCAATTCCTGGCGGGAATGGTGACAGCAGCCATGCTCTCCTTGATCGCAAGGTGCCTGGGCAACCATCTGCAAAAGAATTGTTCCTTAGCAGATCCTGCATTGACCAAGTGGCGATGCTGCAATGTGCTGCCTTCAGAAAAGGAGTCAAAGATGACTGCAATCATGAAAAGCAATTGTGTGCCAGGCACTACCATGATGACACATGCACGCTATTAAGACATCACAAGTCAAGTTGTGCATGTCCTGGATACTGTGCCCGATGTGTGCTCTCTACGTGCAGTACATATATATAGCCATCATGCTTTACTGCCTAGTCTATTACAGAAAGCATCAAGCGACATGTGGGTCCATCACTGTGGTTCCAACACAACAGCAAGACACAATGTCTCTGCTTCACAGCAGCGATGCCCCTGCTATCAGCAGGTACTTGCCGATCCCAGGACATCTCAGCAGCTGCCCAACACCCATTGCTACCTTCAGCTCGACACGCACAGCACCAACTGCATCGCAGAGAGGGCGGCACTGTCTTGGAGGTGACTCAAGCGGCAGCGGAGGATCGTGCCCCAGCCTTTGCTTCTCTTCATCCCACATTTGAACCAGGGAATCTACCAGCCGAATGCCAGGACTGGCATCTTTGAGGGGGGTTCGTACCGCCTGCAGCCACACATATCCATCATCACGATAGCTTTGCAGTCCCTGCCAAAGGCAGCAGCACAAGCACCTGCCTTGTTGCTTTGATCACCACACAGCAGTGGCTGGCTAGAGCATGGTTTCAGGCAACAGAAGGCTGTGTTCATATCAAGCCATTTGATCGACCTTCAAATCGCTGCTGGGAAACCTTGCACTGTGCTGCCAGCAGTGGTATCCAAAAGCCACTGGGAAAGCAGCCAATGTCGCTGACAGTGCAGGCTCACAGTATCCAACTTCTGTCTCAATGGAACACAGAAAAAAGTGACAATAGTTCACTGGGACCACAATTGCAACTCTTGTTTGGCAGAGACTTGGTAGCGACATGACAAGAACAGGTCTCGATACTACACATCAGCTGATGCACATTGCCAGACACACCTCCAACCTGTTGAGTATGTCCTCAACACAGGCATCGACTTCTAGTTCACACTGACTTTGACGCTCGGGAATCCTGGTGCAACAAGTGGCAGGCAGGCATACACGTCATTCACTGCAGTGGAAAGTAGGTGCTGCATTGACAACACCAAACATCAGTGCAGGAGGAGCTAACATCCTCAACAGCAGCCTGCAATACTGATGCGATTAACTTTTGACACAATTGCTTGCAGCAATTCGGAATACAAACAACCATGGGATGAGGTGCCCATTTCTGCAGTCGTGATGATCGCGTGCACAATCTCGAACATAGGCTACCTTGACAGCCACAGTGCACAGTGAGTCATGAGCTAGGGCAAGCAACTGTGGCTTCTGAGACCGCTTGCCGTTGACACCATGCCTGGAATCGGCATCCACAAAATGGTGCACCTGACATCTGGTAGCCCCGTTTGTACATTCAGTCAGCAACACGGCCCTACACCAGACACAGATTCTCTCCACTTTTTTTGCTACTGAATATATATCCAAACGACCATGGCCGTCCCAGCGCCTATGTTGCCTGTGGGTACACACCATCTTGTGAACATACCAATATTGCTAACATGACGTACAAATTGTTCATGGACATGAGTATACGCAATTCTCCCCTGTTTGAAATTCCCAGCCATTGCAGGTCTCCACGGCCAGGCATCTGTTTCCTACCTTGTTAAGAGCTCCCCGCCACCCCAAACATACGTGGTGGGGATCGTTGTCTTTATCCATATGGCTTCTGCAACAGCATGCAGAGAATCCATGTGACCTGACCAGCGAAGCCCAAAGAGCGACTCAGCACACATGCCCACGTGTTTCCAGCTCACTCCCCATCTATCGCTTCACAGGCGCCAGCCAAACAGAACAGGCTTATCGCTTTTTGGAAAATCTTTGATGAACATTCTGTGAAATTCTTTGACAAATGCAATATCAAAGGCCCCAGGGTGTTCCAGTCCATACAGCTGTGAATCTGGGTCAGCCTGCCAGGCGCTCAAATCTTTCTGCTCAAACCCAGCGTATTGAACACATTATGAACGTTTGAAGTGCGCTGCAGATCCGCAGCTCAGCCACAGAATCAGTGCCCGCATGCCATGTGGCTCATCCTCAAGACTCACCATCAGATGCCTGCACTGCTTCATGCGCAAGCATTCCCTTTGCGAATCGCTGCCAAGAGTCTGTCCTGCACATGTGAGCATCGGGCAGTGGCGGCCGGAACAGCACCTTGGACAGTTTAAGTTGAGACATCCCATAGAGGTTGAAGTCAATCTGGACTCAGCATGAACGGATCATATCAGGACAGCGATGCAAGAAATATCAAATAAGCATCAATTCTGAATGTCACAGTCATATAGCACCAAGCTGCAGGAGCAACACAAGTCATCAACTGCCTTTGCCATCCCATCAACAACGCTGCGAGATAAGAATTTCGTACAGTAGGGGTCCCTGTATAGCACCCCCCAATAGCGCCCCCTTCTGGGCTTGTCACCATTTCTGCAGTACTTTATGCAATTTTGTTGTGCAGTGGGACCTCAAAATAGTACAGGGTGGGCCCGGCGGCCAGGATACCCCCAACACTGGCAGCTAGGGTACCCCCTACACTGGCAGCTAGAGTACCCAGTATAACGGCAGCCATGGTACCCCTTCCACCGGCGGCTAGGGTACCCCCCACACTGGCAGCCGTGGTACCCACTATACCGGCAGCTATGGTCACCCCTACACCGTCAGCGTAGGGTACTCCCTACACTGGCGGCCAGGGCACCCTTTACACCAGCTGCTCAGGGTACACCCCCATCAACACAATAGCGCCCCCATCCCCCAATAGCGCCCCCCTTTTGGCCATGTCACTGGGGGGCGCTATATAGGGACCCTACTGTATTTCATTGATTTAGGCTCTAGTTCCTGCAGCCTTTTGCAGCCATGGCACAGCTGAGCCCTTGCATCTGTCAGGCAGTGCCAGGCATTCTTGCATCCTTCATTGTCACCTGCATCGAATGCGACTTAGTGTCTCAGTACCATACTCATGCCTGCACACGGATGTGTCACTTTTCCACAGCAAGGAATATTGTCCCAAAAGAGCTCCACAGAAACGATACAGTGGATGATCCACTGTATGCCACACTACCATTTTGTTAAGAAGACAACCCTTGGTTTCTGAATCGTGATGGATCTGCCAAAAAAGTACAGCCACAACCAGTGCCAATGGCCTACCTTAATCTGCAGTAGGAAAGGGATGTGCGACTCGTGGGGCTGGAACTCTCGACCAAGGATGACACCAGTCTGCAGCACATTAAACTGCTGTTGGAATCGACTTACACAAGGCTTTCCACCTGTCAACACATGTTCATAACATGACCAGGATGGGACCTCCATAAAAGGCTTGAGCGCACCTGTAGCATATCTGCAGCTTTCCCAACGTCCAGGGGGCAGTACCTGCATGTTGCAAATCCAGGGTCAAATATTTGCTGGGCGTCACACAGCACTGCAAAGGACTGGCTAGATGCCAGTGGCGCAGGATGGCAACCATGGAGTCATTATTGCCAATCATGGCAAGTCTCAAGCCACAAGTTTTGGCAGTGACGGAGCATGTGCAAAAAAGAGGCCAATTACAACCACTCTGACACATCCAAATACCAGCTATTGGAGGTACGGAAAGTGGATCACACATCCCATGGCATTTTTGAAGTCAACAGATACTATAGGTAACCTCTGCAGTCAAATCACCATCTTTGGGGTCGGGCACCATCTGTCCACAAGCCAACCAGCCGGCTAATTGGCCAATCAGTCACAGTCAGGCAGTCAATCATTTTGTGGCTATGCTGCACTTACATGACCATTTTCATGAAAAACTTCTCCTTCCCATGGTACCCATAAAAGGGTATGGCTCTGACCAGCTGTACGTTGTGAACGTACTGCCGGCGGGTTCCTCCATGGGCCTCCCGGGCAGCCCTGAGGGCAGAATCCAGACCCAGACCAACTTTGCGGAGGAACAACGACACTGCAGGCACAGGGTGCCACTCAACGTGTTGACAGGTCATGAAATCTGCAATAATTTTGTTCCATAAACATACAGCAAGGCATGGCCCTTGCAGGTCATAGGCACTGCCATGTTCAGTGGTCAAGGATAGCATTGAACATTCTGTGGGCTCCCAACAGCTATGGTTAATCTGTTGAGTGCCAGCTGGCTTGGGTGCTCTTGTAAACAAAGTTTGGATGGCCCATGATTCTGTCAAATGGATGCAGCCTTGGGATGCAGTTCAGAGAGAATGCCATTTTGAGAGTGGTGAAGCCAAAGCATGCAATTGTGATACAAATAACGAGAAGAAGTGGGAACCCATATGCTTTATGCATGGCACTGCTAAAAATGTTCTGCGAAGGGGCCAAATGCGGCCATGTGGGTGTGCAATATACATGATGCGCACAAGGTACTAATGACATATTTGTGAGAACATTTCGATGTGAACTTTTCTTTTGCTGAGGGCAGTGCCCAACATCGTCTGACAGATGCAAGGGCAGAGCTTTTTCAACTGTTGTCATCAAGCCAAAAACTCAGATTTGCTGTTCTGGTTCAGCCATGTGGAATGTATGTCATATGTGTGGCAGCGCAAACATGCCAGCTGGGAGCTATGAATAAAGGCACTGCTTACCATCCGCAGGCGCAGTTGGTAGGTCATCATCGTATGGAATGTAAAAATATGGAAAGGCCTGCAGGAACGATGCCACCGAAAATCAGCTTCAGAGGAAATGTGAATGAAATGATGCTGCACAATTGGGTCCCACATCCTACATGTGGGCCCACTCCCACACTCAACCACATTCTTGAATTGCTCTTTATTCTAGGTAATGTCCTGTATCAAAAAGATGTGGATCGCATTTATTTTCAGACGCCAGCCTGAAAGGAGGCCTCGGCCTTGCCACAATTCCACACCAAACTTCGGGAGAACACTGGTGCATTTTGATTGCTTGCACAGTAGGACATATATGTGGTCGCCCACTGCCATTACGCACACGCACGCTTGCATATTCTGCTCTTGCATGTGCCAAAGGACTTGGCAATGCATTTCCATGGCATCATGTGGAGTACCTGCATTAGGGGTTGACAGCCCCAATAGTTGCCATGTTCTTTTACCAAGCACTGGGATGCACTTGTAGACTGCAATTGACGGTGTGACGTCATCTGAGCCCACCCAGACATACATGCCGTGTCTATCCAGCAAGCCTGATCAGAGTATTGGGGTCTCCCGTCGCCTTTGAGGACACAATCACGCATTCTTTTGCAGGAAGGCCCCCTTCCAATCTTACGCAGACGCCAACAGCTCGCTGCCACATCTTGTGCCGCCGAATCTCACCACTTTACCACCAAATGCTTGATCAGCCAACCGGCACGTCAATCCTCGGCCACAGTGCAGATGCTTTTGTCGCTTTCCAGGCCCCGATTTCGGGGCTGTTTGCATCAACTTTCACCTTGTGGAGATGCACGCAGGCAACCTGGCCCCCCGACGTCGGGCCGAAGATGCGCACGACGGGCACGGAGTCGACTTGCTCCCCCGCAAATTCCGAATAGCACACATCCACGCCTTGAATTGGCCGCGCCATGTAGTAGTCGATGCTCACGAGCCGGACGGAGAACCTGGGCCCAGGGGCGAACACGCGCGAGGGCGCCATGCCGAGCGATCGCTGGTCGAGTTCCAAGCAGCAGGAACAGCAGAGAAGGAATAATGGCAAAGGCTGCGTCGGTACCCCCCCCCGGCCTGGCGAAGGTCCGCCCCACTTGGTGAGCAGCAGGGTGCACGGAGGTTGCACCAGAGCATTAGTGTCCACCCCACCAGCATCTGCCCCTATTTGTATCCCCCCCCTATTAGCACCTCCCCCCTGTTTGTATCCCACCCTATTTGTAACCAACCCTATCAGTATCCAACCCCTCTTCGGAGCAAAACCCCGCCGGTGCCCTGGATGCGGTGTACGTATTCGCCCCCAAACCCTCAATGGGACTCGTTGGAGTTGCCTTGACGCGAGGGGTCCAGTTGCATCACTGTGGCAGCGGAGTGGCCTTTGCGTCCCTTCAAAGTGCGGCAAGTACCGCAAAGTACTGGACCTGTGGCCCCGGTGCCATGCGTGCTTCACGGCTGCACACCTTGCAATTTTCGCCTGCCCTAGTCGATGGGGAAGGAGGCCGTGGTATTTTGCACCAAGGGCTGGAAGCGCTTGAGGGTCAGGTAGGAGCATCCGTGAAGTGCGGATCTAACGCGAAGGAGGCATCGCGCAGGAATGGGGAGGGCGTTTCAGTGACGTAACGTGCCCGCATGGGACCTAAATAGCATCCTTGGGGCCGCATTCCACCTGAGCGATTGGATGAAGGGAGTCCAGAGGCGAAGAGCTGCGGCTGTGTGCTTGGGGGAGGTCGTTTGTACCCGTCCATGCTGTTGTGCTTGCTGCAGTTGTGGAGGTTGGCGCTTGCTCTTGTGCAACGCATTCGCGCTATCTCTGGCCCAGGCTCCTGTCATAATAATCAAAAATTTCTCCATCCAGCATCTAACATCCACACAGCATCTCCATCCAAAACCTCTTTGCAACAAGGGTCCAAACTATGGTATCATCCGTGTCTCTGTGCTAGTATCCGTCGTTCCTTTCGTCTTTGTTGGGAGTCCTGTATACTGATACCAATATTGGTGCTGGGTAACCACGGTGCCTGTGCAGTACTGATGTTGCACACATTCATAACCGTATGAGCAGGCTTGCGGCATCCAGCAAGTACCTTTGTTGCTACAGCAGTTGGCGCGCTCCTTTACACCAAACCGAATGACTAGGAGACTGCCAATACACGTCAATGCTGGCGATGTGCCATTGCGACACACGTCAGCATCACTCGTTTCATTGCCGGGTGCCACACAGATGCCCCACACCCTCTTCCCAGCTTCACGCTCCCGTCGTAACCGCCAGGACAAAGCCTGTTGCCGGTCTCCTGAACCACTCTGTTCAGAGTTTCGCGCCCTCATTCGTCCCGTAGCCACGCTCTGCGACACCAGACGCGACCTTTCTCTGAGTTCGCCGCCAAAACGGTCTCAATCGGTGGGGGAGCAGTGCACGCGCATGCCCATGATCGGAAATGATCATTGCTCATTAGCAACCGCCAGTGCGCAACTCGCATCTAGCCCGCGAACGCTCGCTTTTTGTGCCTGTCGATGGGTGTACAGACACGGACTGTTGCCGCCGCGTTGCCAACTCCGGTCTTGGTACAGACTGCTGTCCCTACACCACTGCTTGTGCGTTGCAGCAGGTGTGAGAGGCGGGCGGCCCTCGACGTGCGCGCAGATTCCGCCCACCCGGCGGCAACTTCCCCTTTTGGCTTGCAACGCCGTGGTGGTCGATCCAAGCGACGGAAATCATGGCGGGAGGTGAGAGGCCCGCAGGGTGGTTGCGGGATGGGAGTGAAGGTGTGGAACAGATCCGTCCATCCGGACGGACTGTGAGGATGATTGTGCGGCGTTGGTTTTTGTGGATTCCAGAGGCTGCATCACAGCGGGGAGAGGGAGCTGCTTTGGTTTTAGTGTTTTGCGAAATGCCAATATACATTGAGTCAATGTGTGCAACATCTCGATAAATAACGACACGACGAATACAACATCCAATGCAAGTAATCCAGGTGTTGCCTCTGTCTCTAACGGAAGAAATGTACACTTTGTATCACTTCACAAGAAATCCCCAGAGGATCTGAAGTGCAGAACACTTTTCGCATCAACATGTGGCACAGTCTCATTGAAGCAACGTGTGGTGCTCCGGTGGGACTCTGGCAGATCAGGAATCACATCAAATGACACTGACTTGTTCGTTTGAAATTTTTCGAATTCAGGAGTGTCAAGGATATTGCTGATGTTGTCATTCAGTTGGCGAATCTAATTTAGAATGCATGGAGGTCAACAGTGAGTGGGATTATGTCTCTATCCCTTGCCAAAGCAAACCCCAACGTTTCAACAACTTGGAACCTCATCCCCTGAGCAGTGCCGAGACTGTCCAGCCGAAACCAACGGAAGCAACGACGGAACAAAGAGACACGTGCTCTAGGTGATTGCGTGCAGGGTGGACTCAGAACGCCAGGTGCTGGAGACTGCCAATTGGAAACTGATATTAGCAGCCGTATTGTACTGTAAGATTGCTCTGGGTGTGCTCCAATAAGACGGCCCCAAGTAGTGCTTGAAGTGTTTGCGGAAATCGGCAAGCAGGCCTGTGGAATTGAACGTCATTGGTCTTGCAAGACCCTCCAAATATGAAAGGAGATATGGTCCTATTCTCGAGTGCAGTTGTACCAGTACTGCATACAAGAATTCCATGACAACTGACTGTTCAATATTCCGTGCCACAATTTGGGGCAGAAAAGGATTGTCGTGGTATGCATCTTGTACAGAATTCTGTATAAAACGATGCATGCTGATAATACACGTATTAAGCTTGAAACGTGCTTAAGAAGCCACGGTATCGGTAGGTATACATCGTCCTGACAATTTTCCAGAACAGCGGACTGAAAATTTGTCAGTGATAGGCCTCTGACAAAATAGCGCAGCATCGGAGCGATCAGGTTGATCTAAAAGCTTGTGTAGTCTCAACAGGTGGTTCGCCAGCCTGGTCTTCCAAAAGGCCACTGGAATGGAAAATGGCATTGCGCCTGCCCAGCCAAATGGGCACCCTGTAGAATGACGTTGATTGCCTTTTTCATGCCTTGTACCTACGCCCTCAATGGCCACTTATCTGCACGCGGGTACCAAAACCATCCGCCCATCCTCAAGGGCCAGCAGCGAAGTTTGTGCCACAGTCCTTACAGGAACCACTGGAATGGAAAATGGCATTGCGCCTGCCCAGCCAAATGGGCACCCTGTAGAATGACGTTGATTGCCTTTTTCATGCCTTGTACCTACGCCCTCAATGGCCACTTATCTGCACGCGGGTACCAAAACCATCCGCCCATCCTCAAGGGCCAGCAGCGAAGTTTGTGCCACAGTCCTTACAGGAACGAAATTTTGTCTGTTTGCCAATCCCATTAAATGCAATAATCAGCAGGGCATGACTAACATGTCCTGCCGCCTGAGAGGCAACGTTTGGGCAGCAGCGCACACGTCATGTTTGTGCATTTTGCCGTACAATTATTTAAGTATGCACGCCAGCTACTTTGATATGCTGTGCCGGCAGGGTCGGGGCGTGTTGGGAGTGTGAAGGGGGAGCTGGCAGGGCTTTTCCAATCTGCCGCAAGAAAGGCGTTTCCAGGTCTGCGCTGATCGGGTTTGTGGCAGAAAATCCCTTCTCTTTGGTCAGCACTGCCTTGCAGAACACATCAGGGGACTGCAGATCATTTGAACCATGTGAACGACAGCCCTACACATGTTTGATGAAATTTGTGATGCCCGATGAGCGGCTTTTTTTCTTCACTTGAATTACCATCCTCTGCATGAAAAACGCTTGCGGACCATTGCTCCATGGAAACTACAAGATCTTACTTGGTTGAAGACACAAGTGCTCCTGACCATTTTCCCATTGTCATTCCAAATGTTGCTTCAGATTTTGAATTTCGAAAGCTGTTAATATGCTTGCATGGTACCCCGACAAGGCAAATGCGACGTCTCCGTCCTAGGCAAATGACCTCCTATTATTTTCAAACTGTGTGATAATATTGGCTTGCTGTGCACATTGACTTCTAGTGTGACACCACATGCATTTTCCTGAATGGGGTTAACGATGCACACCGTAACTCTGGTCTGTGTACATGTCTGTTAGGCGAATCTGTTGAGATGGTGGTGACACCCTGCGACCCCATGTTTGGGGACTATCAGTGCCCTGTTGCGATGGGCATTTTCAAGAAGATGAAGGGCAAGGTGAGTGGGCTGTTACTGACCAATAAATAGTTTATTTGACTACTTATTTGTTGTGAGGTCTAAGTGATCATTTAGCCCCACCAGGTTGGCTGTTGTGAACAGCTGTTTCCGTGCTGAGTGGCAGTTGTTTGGCTCTGCGATCTTGCGCAAGGGGCATAAGCTGCGACACTGGCTTAGTGTTGCTTTAATGTGTTGTACTGTACTGTATTGTTGCCCTGTAGAGCTACCACTGCAACATTGGTGATCTTCTTGCACAGGATCGAGACGTAATTTGTTGTGTATCAAGGCTCGATGCAATTTGACTGGCAGTAACAATAGCCACTGCAGTGCCCACTCTGTGAATTTGTTCCCTGCTTGTTGTTATTTTGCCACAGCCAATAGCAAATGACTCTGGTGCTCCATGCATTGTGGCCATTGCCGCACATCCCTGTCTGGCAGGTGCTGCATGACCAGGGTCAGGATGTGCTGTCCGTTGCCATATCCTTCTGCTTGTCAGGCCGTTCTGTTGAATGCAGCCAGGCCGCTCAGCTCTGGCCGGTTGCTTGGTTGAGCTTTCCCTTTTGGAGTGGCTTGAACCGCATGCCTCTGTGGGCAGGAGGGCGCTCCTGAGACACCCAAGGAAGTGGCTGATTCCATCATGGAGAATTTGGGAGACAGTTCTCTGATAGAACACACGAGGTGGGATGAACTATAAAGGATGTAACCAGGAGCACGTGCTGTTTCAGCTACCCTCCATTGTTGTTATTTGCTTTCGATTTCACTCTCAACACAGGAAGGTGCATTTTTCATGGGTCATTCTGCAGGATATTTTCCCACAAGGGAGCGTCTTGTTTGGTGAAAAGGGTAGCACGCAGGATCTGACATGCACCCACGTATGTCTGACCCTGCGCACATGTTTCGTAATCATTTTTAGCAACATGTTGGCTACCTGTTCCCTGCACCTGAGAAGCTCAATGACAAGACAGCTATGGGTATATGTGCTGCGCTGCATTATGCTGATTGGACTTCTGTTCAGGTGGCGAATCCAATTCATGACAGAACGTGCAATCCTCATGTGCGACTCTTTTCCAACCCAAGCAGTGTAACCTTGAGGGGGACTGGGACCGTGGGCTTGCAAGAGCGTATGACACAAATTGTGACTGAATTGTGTCAGCAGTATGCCAAAGCCAGAACAAATTCTGTCCTCGCAGAGCACCCTTACACTATTGCGCGTGCTGCCATTGTGTGATTTATAATATTGCTACTGATGCTTGTCTACTTACCTCGCAGTGTGGCGGGTGGCTTTGTGAACGTCACACTCTCTAGAATATGGTTGGCAGAAAGGCTAGGTGAGTTGAAAAGTTTTGTGAATTTTTGTGCTTTCCTTGCAAGCAGTTGAGTTGCTGCCGCAGTGGACAATTGAACCCTGGGTTTCAGGTATCTCCTTTGTGCGAAGTGGCCAATCAAGGAAGAAATAGCTGCTTCCTGGGGTGGGGTGGGGGGTGGGGGGGGCTTCGTGCGGATTGTGCTCTAACTTCAGAATAAGAGCCAATGGGCGACTCATATCAATGGTATGGAGCAACAGCCGCACTTCCATATGACGTAGATCGTCAATTCTGCATCCACATTTTGCATGCTTGTTATTTGTGGCGTGAACACAGCGCGTATTCAAGCATTTACCCACAAAATAGTATTTCTATTTTACGCACAAAACACCATAAAGCACATATATAGAACTCCTGTGTACTTAAAAACAGTACATACAGCTTCAGGGATTCCCGGGATCGGCAACCAGGTGTACAACTGGTTCAGAACATGTGCTGGACTGGCCATAAAACTACCTTTTGTCTGGTGACGTCGTTGCCCTTTCCAAGGGCGAGGCGGACGCTGAGTTACGGGTGCTCCATGGGGCGGCGGACTTGCCAGTGCTTGCGACTTCATCATGTAGCATGGATGTATCAACGCGCCGTGAAGATAAGTATATAGCTGTAAGAATAGCCGCTCTGTGCTTGCACGCGGTTGCGCGTGAAAACGTTAATATAAATATGGTGTCGCAAACGTAAGCAACAAAAGCCTGTAAAATTGTCTCCGGATTGTTGCCAAATGCATTGGCCTTCAGGTCTTGTGCAGCAAATACCTTATAAATCGACATTACCTTTACCACTGCCTTATAGCTTCGGCCATCTCTCAAAGTGGATATTTTCGCCAGTGCCTAAAATTGAGTTGTGTGTTCGGTTTGGTAAGGGAAGATGATCTCTGAGGGCATCGGTTCATGGGCGCCTCCCCCCCTCAAGTCCCGCATCCTTGTAGACTTCTCCTCCCCGAACGTGGCGAAAGAGATGCACGTGGGCCACCTGCGCTCCACGATACTCGGTGACATAATCGCCAGGACTCTGGAGTTCACGGGTGCTGAGGTGCTGCGGATTAACCACATCGGCGACTGGGGCACGCAGTTCGGGATGTTGATCCAGCACATGTCCGAATCCCGCCCTGAGGGGCTTGGAGAGGAGGGAGGGAGTGAGGAGGATGTCGCCGATCTTCAAAATTTGTACAGGTGTGTTTTGGCGACACTTCGTCCCAGGAGCATACAACGTTCGGCACAAAGCTGTGGCACCATTTGGATAGAGGTGCCGTGTTGGCATGTTGCATTCATGGTCATTGGCAACAGCAATTGGCACTGTCTAGAGCGGCTTGAAATTGATAGAAGGATGTTTGGCTCCATTCGCACATATCAATGTTTCTCTTCAGACTGTCGTCCTGTTTGCTGGAAGCTTCCAGGTGGTACCTTAAGGTAGCCTGAGTGCAGCCGGTGTTCCAGCAGCATTTTGCTCTCGTCTGCAGTGCTAGATTAGCGCCGAGTGTGTGACTGGTCATTAAAAGTGGCAGTGTGACCCGTTGGACGCCAGCTCACAGGGCATGCTGGGCGCAACTGCATCGCGTGAGCCAGGCATGTTATCTACGTCTACGGCACCATTTTCAATTTTATGCTTTTATGCGTACAAATGCGCAAATAGAATAGCCGCCATACTTACGCACTTTCACAGCTCGCCGACTCACCTAGGTTACATGATGATATCCGAAAGGGTGATCTGTCCTCCGGAGGGGATCCGTGTGGATCCACGTGCTATATGGTGAATCCACCCCCTAGAGCACCGGAAACACAACGCCCATCTCACCCTTGGCAAGTGCAACGACGTCGTTGAACAAAAGGTCGTTTTCTGCACATGTCAGCGCGTCTAGCTGCCACTCCGCGGAATCCCTGAGTCTGTATGTAGTTTCTTTAAGTACGCAAGGCTCATTTTTATGCGTTTCTACGCCTAGTTACGCGCAAAAACCTAAAAACCATTTTACGCATAAACAAACATAAATACACGAGTGTGTTGCGCCGTACGCAACATGCCTGGCGTGAGCAGTCCTTTTCAGAGTTGTCATAATGGCGTGGAACTTCACTTTGAGGACATCTTGATGTGGGTGTCTGCAGTGCGGCACCGTTTTGTGCTGTCAATGTATGCGCAGGCGACATAGTCAGCTCTAATCCTGGTGGCCCGCGCGAAGGGCATGTTTTGTGGGTGCGGCTCTCAGCGCTGAGATGCTATGTCGCATTGATTGCGAGCCTCGTCGTAAACACAATGCTAGCCTCACAGGCCCACATGAATTGCAGAAGCAGCGCGTGCATACACACCAACATATGTGTTCAAACGGACCAAGTAATGCTATTCAATTCAAGTTAAAAATGGTGGGCATTGCAGCCGGCTTGTGCCCCTGTCACACGCCAGAACAGAAAGAAGCTGCAGCATACAGACCAAATATCGAGCTTGGCATGCTGTTTGCTGTGGCTTTCCAGGGCAGCCAGGGTTCGCTTTGATTCAGAGGAAGACTTCAAGATGCGTTCTCAGCAAGCTGTGCGCACACTGCAATCTGGTGACGCCCAGTACATTGCCGCATGGAAGAGAATTTGTGCGGCTTCCAGGAAGCAGTTTAGAGATATCTACAGGCGGTTGAATGTGGAGTTGGTGGACAGGGGAGAGAGCTTTTATAATCCATTCCTTGCCCCCCTTGTTGGCGAGCTCAAGGAAGGGGGCTACATTGAGGAGTGGCAGGGTGCACAGGTAAGTGCCCCGGCCGTTGTGGCGAAAATTTCATGTGTGTAAGTGGCGCCCTTAAGATCAGCATGGGCGCTTTCTCCAACATTCTATGCCCGCCTTTGTCAACATGAGTACGCAATTCGCTTTCAGCTTCACTCCATATCCACTTTTAGATAACAGCACGTTGCGAGGCCAATTGCGATGCAATCTTGACGCAAAGTGAGGCTGTCACAGTGGTTGGGATGGCATTGAAGTAGATGCGATGGCACCGATTTGCGTCAAAGGGCATCGTAGTTGGCATCGCAAAAATGCTGCTTTCTACTGGTGTTTGGGACGCCATACTCTCACAATATCAGTATGCCAATATCATGGAGCGCTGTACAATACACACATGTGTGTGGTGCTGGCTGCGGATGTTAGCTCGGTTACCTGCAGTTCGTGCTCCGATGAGGACCTGTCTTATTGCCGGTGTCTCTGCTGCACAGTGCATTTTTGTCGACAACATAAAGGTGCCGTTCATGGTTCAAAAATCGGATGGCGGCTTTGGTTATGCCGCGACCGACCTGGCTGCTCTGAAGTACCGTCTCACAGAGGACAAGGCTGATTGGATATTATACGTCACCGACGTCGGCCAAAGCCAGCATTTCCAGCAGCTCTTTGGTGCCGCAAGGAAGATTGGCCTGTTGACAGATGGGGAATGCGGCGTCAAGGTGGACCACATAACTTTTGGACTTGTCCTCGGGGAAGACGGCAAGAGGCTCAAAACACGTTCGGGAACGGTGGGCACCTACCCAGGGTCCAATTGGACTGTGTTATATCTATCACTGTGCAGCAGGGGCGCTTGACAAACGGGCCAGCTTCATTGCATTGCGATTGACCACATGGTGTGCTAATGGTACGGTCGCCTTTCTGTCTTGCGCAAGACGTGCATGCATGCAATCATGGACGAAGGCAGTGAAACCAGGGGCACGAGGCACGACTATTGTGTTCGCAGTGTTTGGTGGAAGGAGACATTCACTGGTATGCGGCTCTGCTCACCTAAGCTGCTTGACAAGCCGAGGCCACTGGGGAGTCCGTCAGGACTCTGTGGGGTACAAGCTCATCATTTCGTTGAGCTCGTAGAGTGTTCTCACGTAACCCGTGGCGATCCTGACTTGCAGGCTGTCCGGCTTGCCGACCTGCTCGACGAGGCCAAGGCAAGGTGCCGTGCTGCCATCAAGGAGCGCTGGGACGAGCGCGGAGAATATATATCGGAGGAGGACTTGGAGGACGCCGCGAGCGCCATGGGCTACGGGGCGGTGAAGTACGCGGACCTGAAGAACAACCGAATGTCCAACTATCGTTTCTCGTACGACGAGATGCTCCACACGAAGGGCAACACGGCCGTGTACCTGATGTACGCGTATGCCCGGCTGTGCGGAATACTGCGGAATACTGAAAGGGACGTGGTGGAGCTCGCTGCCAACGAGAAGATTGTATTGGAACACGAGAAGGAGGTTGCGCTGGCTCTGCAGATCGCAAGATTTCCGGAGGTATGCCGCTGCAGCTTCCGACAGGGCTGATGTGTTTCGGGAGAATGGAACACAGTCGTCAGGCTGCTTTGCTCTCTACACAGATGGGAACTGACTGGCACCGTTATCATCCTGCGGGTCAAAATGCCGTAAGCCCATGCCCAGAGTCTGTGGTTGGTTGCGGGAATCCGTTGCCACAGCGTCCAAAAGGGGCCGCAGCGCGCACAGGACAAGCGAACAGAGCTCCAAGGCGATGGCTCATGACGTAGGATGTTTCCGCTTCCATTCCCATAACAGGGAATCCCAAAACTGTTCCCCGATCCTATGCTACACTTGTCCAAACTTGAGGCAGCGCTGCCCCTCCAAGTCGGTGATGCGCATATTTCCGAGCATAGTCTTTACAGCATAAACGCGATGTATTTGCCTGTGTTGCGCGAAAATTGCATTAACGTTTTTGCAAACCAAAACGCGTAAAAATACGTAAGGTAGACTGCATGTAGATAAAGACAATACATGGAAGTCTGTGGAAGGAAGTCTGTGGAAGGAAGTCTGTGAGTGGTAGGCCTGACGCGCTGGAGGGGGCAGGGAGCGACCGTTTGTTCCGTCCAAGGCGTATTTCCCCTTCCCCAGGGCGAGGTGGATGCTTTGTTGCTCGAGGGGGCGGCTGACCTTCGTTTGCGACTTTACCGTGTAATATGGGTGCCTTGGCGCGTCATAAAAAATACGCATGTATAGCCGTTCCTGTGTTTACGAGTTTTGTGAGCGAAACCCTAAAGGCAAAAAATGGTGCCGTCAATGTAATGACCAAACTTGTTCCCGTGCAGCCTGTTTGCAAGCAGCAGTGTTTCTTGCACCACCAGGCCGTGGAGAGGACCATACGAGAGCTGCTTCCCAACCGCCTGTGTGAATACCTCTGCGAGCTCTCCAACGTTGTCAACGGATTTCACTGCGAGTGCCAAGTGATTGGCAGCGAGCGCGAGGCAAGCCGCCTACTGCTGTGCCAAGCCACGGTCATGGTCAAGCGCGCATGCTTCAAGCTGCTGGGCATCAGCCCGCTGAATAGGATTTGATGGCGGTCAAGTGCGCGCTGGGGTTTCGCCACGCAACTGCAGCGCGTCTGGCGGGTCCACTTCCCGCTGGTAGTGGCGGCTTTGGATGCAAGTTGCGGCGCAAGAGAGCGCCGCATCCAGCGTGGCGGATCTATATGTGAGGAGTTGTTTCGCTAAGAAGAATTTCGTTTGGTTCAATGGCACTTGCATCCAATTTCTGGTGTGCAAACGGCACACGTGCCGTTAAACTTATGTGAAGCAATTCTGCTGCACTGAAATAGGCGAGGATTTGGGGAGCAATCGCTGTGGCTAATGTACAAGTTGGCGATGGCAGCCCAGTCCTACGTGATGGGCACATCTATGAGGCCATGTGTGAAAACGACCATGAACGCCATAAGAACGCCGTGTATCTTTCAAAGCACTCCGGTTTCGATGGGCCCTTGCAAACTACCAGGCAAGGCGGCGATTTCCATCTCCGTCCTGTTGGCCATGCTGAATAGCCACCATCTTCACTTGGGGGCTGTGCGTGGGGAGGGGAGGGCAAACGTTGACGAGGACTCTCCTGCAGCACCATGTGCCGCGGCTATCCGCCTCACTCTGTTCGCGTTCAAGGGCTGTCAGCCACTCGATCCTTCACTTTCCTCGTTCCAGGGCCGCCAACTTGTGGCTGACCCTGCCAAATCCCATGCACTTGCGCCTCGGTCGCAACGATGTCGCGCTGCCATGTTCCTTGCTGCCATGGGCGGCTGCTGTGGACGCGGTTTGGACAAGCTGCGCGCACAGAGAATTTGCCGTGCCTTTCTTCACCTTCATACCAGGAGCCAAACAGCGGGCAGCGCAGGAATACAGATACAAGTTTTGGACTGCACTATGGCGGGAAATATGTTGGCGCGCTGGAATTTTTTTGAACGGGGAAGAGGTGTTCGCCGGGAATCAAGTTCGCGCATCATTGGGGGCGCGAAGTTATTCACATGGTCGCCTTTTCAACTGGATACGTAAAAAACTTCTGGCGCGCTCACGTTTTCGGATGAACAACAATATGTCAGTTGAATCGCAGCGATGGCTGGCCAGTTTAGGAGCCGCCACTGCGAATTTCATTGTGCGGAGATCGCTGATAGAAATAGAGCGTTATGTAAATCGCTTCTATTGATGGGCTACACATGCAACATTTAGGGAAGGTGCTGTTTTGAATTTGTACGCTTGGCGTCGAATTGACGCTAACAGGTGAGATGTACAGTTCACGGACATTTTCAAGGATTTTCATCACCATAAAAACATTATTTCGCACAACAATAAGATATGAACTTACCTGCCCAGTCATCCCGCCTCCATGCATGGCCCCCTCATCCTAATGAGGAAGGCCCGGCGCCCCTAAGGCTCAAAGCCCTTCGTCGACGACACCCACTTTGCGGATTCCTCATTAGGGCGTGACTACAGGCCCCCCATCCTCCAGATCCGCGTCTTCATGTCGCAGCACCTGCCTCGACGCCGAGGCAGACCGGTCTACCGGGACGCCCTCTAGCGGGCGCTCTGTATTGCCTCATTGGCCGGTGCCCTCGCCCTCGCCTTCCCTCTCCTTCTTCCTCTTCCTTTTCTCATCCAATCATCATGCCTTTGTTATATTGTGAAGCCACAGTTGTATTTTAATTTAGAAAGGAGGAAGCATGAGCAAACAAAACATATCGGTTGGTTTTTTCTAAATGCAATTGCATTTTGTTCCTTTAAGAATTGTATTTCTTTTTGCCACTCTATTTTGTGAGGGATGCGCATCTCAATCAATGTTCACTCCTACCCCCGTTTCTTCTCGTATGAGCTGTATATCCCACATTGCATAGTGACCCAGCAGGTCCTGCAAGCATGGTAGAATCTTATTTCACGAATCTTGGCCATCAATTTCCTTTGCCTTAGACGATATGGACGACTGGCAACCCTGTCCCCTTAAATTGTTACGCGACTTGAAAAATACGTTTAGACTCAAGCAGGCTCAAGTGCGCTTGCTTGATCGCCAGTAAACAACAATGGACAGGTCTTCAGTGCTCCCCACCTTATGCCATTGAACACCATGGCATTCTGTGTAAGTGCAACGTCTCCAGACCAAAAAACAATAAAGAGGTGGGGAGATCACGACAAGCACAAATAACAAGATCGGTGGTTCAAATTTCATGGCAGAGTCGACTTGAAAGAGCCTAACTCTTTGTGAGCAGACAAAATGTTGTGTGGTCATCACCAAAAGGTATGATTATCGTTGCCCTTGTTCTTCTAAGAATTCCAAGATTTGACTTATTATATTCATCAACTTGGTTGAAAACTGAATGCGCGCATTTTGTGCGACATTTACCGACAGCGACTGTCCGTGATTGCACAAAAATAGTGGACCTATGCGAGTCTTGGTTTTATCTGTCCGCCACATTGTAAATGTTCTGGTACAATATGGGACCCATCTCATGAGTTCCAATATCTCTAGTCTGGTGCTGTGCATTTTTCGGATTTTTCAAATTGCAACTTTAAGATAAAGCTAATGCTTCTTGTGTTGATTTAGTCCGCACATTTGCCCCAAATGCGGTTGAATAATTGGTGTATGTCCGAAGCTGTGCACAATGTCCCTAAAAACTGCGCCTCACGACCACTCATCACGGGAGTACTGATGCAAATCATGCGCCATGAACACAGGCTTGTACTAGAGGCGCAAAAAATGACCAGTTGTGACAGGTCACAATGCACAATGGTGCACTGCGGGATGCATCACTCGAGATCGCACTTCATGCATATAGAATAAGTTATACGACATTTGCTTGGCGCCAAAGCAGGCGTTTAATATGTTCGATGTTTTCTATACGAATCCATGCAGGAATGAATGTATTGTTCATTTCCGCTTTATTGATTTCTAATATATCAAGTATGGAAAAGTTTTGGAATGTGTAAACATGGCAAATTGCCGTTGTCAATGATATGTTATAACGATTTTCTCACATTAATCTTGAGTACATGGTATCCCAGCCTCTCTATGTACCGCTAGAGCATATGTGGGTAAAGTGACTGCCTTGGAGGCCGCACCACCAAGGCCACAGGCGGCGCGTGTTGCAATGGAATTTGCCATTAGCAAAATTTTCCCAACGTCAGAATCAGTGCCCCATGATTTAACTTCTTTCGTGCTGTGTAATCAGACCGATTATTTTTGCAATCATTCGCATCATTCAGGGTTATTTAAGGCCAGAGGATTAGTCACACTTCTCTTTCTAATGGTGATAAAGGAGCCACAGAAATGCAAAGCGAGTGGAATACAAAGACACGAAGAAATGCACGTTTACAAGCATGTTTTCTTTAGGAGATTAAAAGGCATTTTTCATTGCCGCACCCTGGAAAGTTATTTTAGCGAGTTCAATTGCTTCAGCTCAGATGCCGCAACTTTTTCGTTCACAACTGCAACTTTACTCACGAAACAGGAAGAATAATTATCCAATATACATACATATAGACGTCTCCAGTTTTTTCTGCTTTCCATTCCTATCCAAAACTTTTTTGACTGCATATCAATTCCTTGAGTCATGCATATCCCACTCTCGATCGTAAAATTTGTGTCTCTTTTCTGACGTTGTGTATATCGAATGCTCATATCGAATAATAATTTACCTGGTGTTGCCAACACAATCGCATATATCTCTCTCTATACGTCTATATACGTCTATATCTCTATCTATACGTCTCTTGACCGTCAACGACACTTTCCCTAGGTCGCTCCTTCCCCTCCTCATTCTGAAACATAGTTTCCTCCCCTAAACGGGTCCAGGTGTGCCCGCGCGAAATCCAACAAACGAGAGGCACTAAATCGACTGGGTCGCCCGGCGCACCTTGACCGCCGCCCGCTTGCCGCCGCCGCCTCGACTTCGCAGCACACTCTCTTCAGACTCTTCAGCCTTCACTTCCCCACCTGTTTTCATTGTCTTAACAATGGCTGTCTCCAATGGCCATCGGCGCGTGGCTCAAAAGATCGAGGGTTTGTAAAGCAATCGGTTGCAAGTCGCAAGGCGCGAGCGAGTGAGGAGCAACTTGCCACACCTCGTCTTGAGCATCGGCCGAGCCCTCAACTGTGTTCGCCTCAAGGACGCGACCTGTACGGCACTCTGCGCAAGCATAGTGGTTTTGACCAAACACAATAGCAACGAGATAGCGGCAAGCACAAGTGGGTAGTGCGGTCGTCCAGAATTTATAGGCTCAAGGTGAACCGGACGCAGCTCTTCATAGGCGGGTTAAAAACGCATTTGCCCTGGCCCCATAATAAGGACGATGCCCGGAGCGCTTGATCTACTTACTTCAGTTATTAGATCGAAAACATTTCATTCTGAACTTCCATGTTTTTCGAATGCAGTGGAGGCAATTGTAGCCAGTATCGGGCTGCTAAAAAAATGCAGAGATGAGAGATATAGATGGAGATGGACGAGCGTAACTCGCCATTGCTGAATCAACGAATCACTAAATTTTCATCCAATATACAACATTAAGGGCCTGGGCCTGAATCAGGGCAAGAAGGTAGCAATAAGATCCTAGCTTTCTAGAGAGAGCAAGGGAGATGTTTTGTCAGAGCAATACCCCAAAACGTCACATAAATACAATCAAATTTGCACAAATTCTATCGTTCCAGGAGGCGCTGTTGATATGACAGCAGATTGAAGCATTTTAATAGTAAATCTGCATATTTTGTATGTGTTGCTTATCTGTTGTTATTTATTTGTGCATTTCTATTTTGAATTTGCATGCAAATAAATTCCTTATGGTTCAATGCTGAATTTTGATACATGGACAGTATTGGTCAATTTAAGGCTTCTCATAGCAGGTAGCTTTCTACTCAGACTGTGAGAAAACCATCATGGCATACATTTTTGGAGTTGGCATGGAGATTGTACACCCACGCTTCCATCTTTCCGTTAGGTTAGCTTTATGGATAAATCCTCAAATATAACTAAGACCACACTAATCATATAAATCATTCCATTGAATCTGCAGAGCCTTCTGCTGCCTTGTGA